GCTTCGAGAATAGGCGTAGGAATATCTACCGCGACTGTTACCGATACATATACCATAGATACTGGAGATACTGGAGATACCAGTGCTACTGGTGCTGGTAGACACCACTGCTATTACTGGTACCGTGGCTGAGTTTCAGTCAGTTGCAGAAAAGTTCGCATATAAATATCAATAAACGCCCGTTCGAAGGACCATCTATCTTCTGTGCATGAGCCGGATACCGGCACCGGGTGTTCCATAAATACCGATTCCAGCCGCCGCGCAGCCATTTCGGTGAAATCGCGATAAAAGGAAGGAAAAAAAAAGAATGCCAGGAAAGCACGAGAAAAAATCACCTCGTTCACCGCGTTATCGTATACAGATGTCGATGTCACACTGACCGAGATTGTGAACGAGCCTGTACCCAGCGGTAACGTTCGTGACGATTAACACGGAATTTTCAGTAGAGGACCAACGTCTGTTACCTTCTTACAGACCCCGTTACCATTCGACGCGTGACCATCATTCGAACGAAGTCCATGTACTCTTCGAGTATGGTCCACAAGGCATTGGAGGACCAAGGGAGATCTGCCGGCGGTACTTTCGAGAGCACCCGGTAGAAATTCACGCCATGCGCTACATACGGGAATATATCCGAATAATACAGGAACGTGGGGCGACTTTAAATCATTCGTGAAAAATGCGCACTGACGTACTTTTCGGTGCTGCGAAAAGACTGCGCGAAGAAGTGCCCACGTACTTATATACACACCCATATATATGTATACAGAGTGCATATTTACCTGAGCATATGTGGATACGTTAACGCTTCGCTGTACCCTGTACGCTAGGTCGTTCATATACGTAGCCACAGTGAAGATATAGAATAGATCGGAAAACTGTATCACGATGCCACAGTCACCAAAGTAAACCGAACCTGAATTCTAAGGCTGTGGCACAGAGAGCGGATGCAAGGCGGGAGATTCAAAAACGGCAAAAACAAAGCAGGCGAAACAAAGAGGGTGAAGGAAAAAGGTTGCAGCATTCGTGGTAGGTGGCTGGCATTGCTGGATCTTACTGGCGGGACTGGTGTGGCAGCCGGTAGGTACCAGAAGGCAAATAGAGCAGGAGGAAGTGTTATGGAAAAGTAAGGATACTTTGTAGAGAGGAGAGAGGAGGCTGCGCTCGATGCCACTCTTGAATTGAGATAATACGATTCGATACAGTTGTTGCTTGGTAACGTGAAATCGATAGACAAGACGACGCGAGAGGTAAAAGAAAAAGGGGAGCGTGGATGAAACGAACGCAAGAACCGAGTCGATTGCATCTTCCGGTATCCTCCTGGCACCTTCCTGCACCGGTTAATTCCACAGGACACTGGTTGATGTCACCTAATTCCGCAAGACTCGGGACCATTTGAATGCGGACCTACTCTTGTTCTAATCTCCCTCTGCGAATGCTAGACCATCGAGATGGCGAAACGGGGAGAAGGGAGACAGAGAGAGACACAGATAGAGACATACTAACAACAAATAAAGAACACACTATACAGAGGTACAGAGTGAACGCGTATCAGTACCAATTCAGTACAGTTACGGAACGAGTAAAAGCACCTAGCCACGATCCGCTTCCGGTTGAACGGGTCGGTGAACGAAATCGACTCGAACGCGTCACGGAATTGAAAAAAGCACACATCCATGTGCAGTAACAGTTACAGGTGAATTAAAAATAAAAAAAAATTGAAAAAAAGGGAAAAAAAGGAAAAAAAATCAATTCCCCGATAGAACAAAGGACATCTATCGGATATATTCTTTTACAAGCGATCCGGTGCGGCTTGGCATTTTAATTTTGTTGGTTCGACCGGTGACGCGTTATGCTTTAACGTGGACGCACTTAAATAAATTATCAATCACGCTGAAAGCCCGTGAAAGCGTCGAGAGGACGATTAAGTAAATATGCCGATACTTTTTTTTTATCAACTCTATCAATATGAATCTCAAATGAAAGCCGCGCTCGTGTATACGTTCCTTGTGTTCGCGTAACATACAGTTTTATTTGCGGTCGGTCATTACGGACGTAATGCTGACCGCCATGCACGCAACCTGACACGAAAGTGAACGACTGTCCAGCAATTTGTCCGTCAGTCGATCCGTCGCTCGAAGAATCGATGAAATCTGTCCTATCAGCACGAGCTGAGAAAATGCAAGCCAGAGCGCCTTTGAGTACGGCTAATAGTACTGTCGCTATACCGGGTGTTCCGTATACACCATAGAATTAATCAAATACCAGTAGATATATGTATACCTGCATGCAATAGGGATAGAAGAGCTTTTCCGTAACCATTAAAATCAACCCGAGATTGCATAGTAAAATTTTAAGTACTCGGCAGCCACCATAAGCGTCCTCTCTTTATATGCGTCCAGTGTGTATAAGGATAAGCGGGTCCAGGAGGATAGAAAAAATAAGATAGAATAAAAGAGAAAGGTCAAATGGAGAACGCGTATGGTTTATGGGGATCCGCTGTCAGTCCTGGTCGCATAATGATACAAGGGCTATGGCACACTGAACTCGCTCGTACCTTGTTTTATTTTTATTTGCGAGGCCATCAATGACTCTTATGGGGTTGCAGAAGTAGGCATCTAGTAGAGGATGCAGAGAGCGCGAGGTCTTCTGTACCATATGCTATATATTGTACGGTATATACAGTAGGTCTCCATCATGGTATCGTAGATATCGTGCATACCGACCGAACAAAGTACAGAGCTCTTGCACCTGGTACGGGAAAGGCTACGGCGTAAAGGGAGAAGTCGATCTTCTCGCGTTTTACGACGAATAAAACTCCTTCGAATGTGTTCCTAAGGCGGATACTATAGGTGCATCCGTACGATCGAAGGGCAGTAGTTCCCTTATAGTTTGCCTCGTGCGCAGGTATGATAGGGCCTTGTAGGGAGTCAATTTCCTCGAACGAAAGTCGGGACCGGGAAGTGAGTTCCGGGGCTAACATTTGCTCCGCGATCAGAAGGGTATGAAGAGATAGATAAGAAAGGGAAGAGAAGTAGAAAGAATTGTAGGGAGGACGAGGGACGAAAGGGGGTAACAGCATCGAGTTACCAAGAAATTGTGAAATTTTCAATCGGACTGGGGGATAAATTACCGAAGCCCTTGAGCGAGCCTGCCAAGTTGATATAGAAAACCGAGTACTTTCTCGTAGTTTCCACGACGGAAAGAACCTTTAATTGAAATTTTCTTACCGACCCGACAGGGACTAGCAAGAAGTGCCGTCGAGACGACGATCGTGGGTTAAATTTCTTCTAACGCTTCGTACACCCTATAGGGATGTATCGAATGAAAAATAGTCAGCAACCTTTCTAGTAACCTCGATGAAGTCTCGAGCAAGAACAGTCGGCGCTGAATGATTCAAAGAATTGTCGAATATTTTACCACAGTGTAAAAGCGAAGCCGCTATCGATATTCTCCGAAGGAAGAGAAAAAAAAAAAGCTTGACGCGGTGTATCCGCGACACCCGTTATGTACGTGTAATACCTGAGTACCAGAAGGCCCCCAGGCAACGCACGTACACCTTCCAGCCGTCAGGGGCGTGAACACTGGACGTTTTTCATTGCGCTTTCAATTCTACTTTCGTTCCTTCCTTTGCCGACCTTCTCGTGCCTTTTTTTCTTCCTGCCTTTCCTTATCCCCTGCATTTTTATTGGCAAGTATTGAACGAAAGGAAAAAGGCAATAAAGTAGTAAGAAATACACCAGGAAGAAGTATACCCAGGTTCATACCTGATGACTACCTACCTACTATACTTCACTGGTAGAAGTTCCTAACAGAGAACGCCGGGTACTCCTCGACGTCGAAATCGCCCGAGGCTCGCAAAATAAGGAGGAAGAGCGTCTAGCGACGCTAGCAAGGACCAAGGAAGCTGTCGCTTAAGGACCTTAAAGGAGTCAGGCTCGATCCCCCCTCCCGAATCGTGCGCCCTGAGTTACGCGCGTAGATTATGAAACTCAAAGGACACTTAGGGGCTGCGAGATTGCGCAAATGGTACCTGCGAGTTGTCGCGATAATGTCCTGGTGCAATTCGGTCGCGAAATTTCGGGCAAACCTGAATACCGAATTCGTGGCTACCGGATCACGAAGATTATGACGTGATGGACCGACTTCGTTCTCGGTTCCTAATGTGGAGCACGTCGCAAGTGGATCCCTATCGCATCCGGTCTATTTGGTCGAGTAATTTCTGACTAATCTCAAAATACCACAAAGCGGTGAAATAGATTCACGAAAGGAAAGAGGGGTGTAACTTTCGGAAGTCGGAGGAACGTTCTCTGCCCCAAGTAGGTACTTCTCGACTCTCGCGACGAAGATTTGATGGCCTAGTGAAAGACTCCAACCCAAGGAATATAGTACCGAGAAACTTGCACAAGGCAATTCTTAAAAGATTAAGTGCATCGTTAGAATAAATAAAAGGAAAACGTATACGGAACGCGCATACCGAGGGTCCGCAATAATTACTTTAGTATATATAGCCTACTTTTATCCACCAGATTATTTCTGTGTAATCTCACGGTATCCTGTAGAGCCTCATGGAAATAGGTATACGATGTAGATGTAAGATCTCACTGACAATTCTTCCTGACCAAGGAAAGTTCCCTTCCTGACTAGGTACGCCGTTAAACTGTATTTCCGCGATGTCCTGAAACACGTGTGATACGTACTGGCGGTCCGGGACTTGTTCGTGACATGAACCAGGCAGCTACTACACGTGTACCTAAGGCGATAATTCTTCACGTTCAAAATGTCATCAACTGAAGAAACAAGAATATATGACGGTACAGGTGATTGGCAACCCTTTAGCCTTCCGTACGCATCCAGTTTCCATATATCCGAATGATCAGAAGCATAAATCTTGGATGTACCGCAAATAGTAATAATGCGAATGGCACGTATCTGCCCGGAATCTCGAGAAAGTGTATACAAGAGAACGGAAGTGATAGCGTGACGGAAACGTGACTTACATTGGATTGGTGGAGTTCCAGTAGATGTCCGGTAGACGAGAACAGGTTGCCTCCCGAGGGAAGGCCTCCATCACAGCCAGCAGAAGTAGAAACAGAATGAACCAGGGCATGATGTCCAGCTGAATCTTGAGGCCGTTTGCGAACCGCTGGCCAGAAGACGAATATCACCCTCGGCCACCTGGATTTCAAAGCATTGATTAGAAATAATACGCAAACTCAGGATAGCATTAGCCGCTATAATAAATATTGATCGACGTAAGAAATCGTAACGACCGGATTACGTGAACGATGTCCTTAAAGTAAAAAACGATCGAGAGGCAATTCTGGTCTTGAACCGGAGAAATACTTCGCGATAAGAAGTACGAATCTAAAGTGTCGTTAATTTGCATGATCCCTCTTGGACAAAAAAAAATCGTTCCAAAACTCCTCTGCCGGGTTAGCTTCGTTCTCAAAACTCGTGTACTATTTAAATCCCACCGTAATCTCAATTCCTTCAACAGTCTTAAAGTAGATATCCTCCGCGGTGCCAGTGAGGAAAATACTTTATCTACTTGGTAATACCTTTATACCTGTATACGGCAATGTAAAAAAAATTAAGCAAGACATCTGGAGCAAGTGATTTCGATCAATCGGCGAATCGTAAAGGAAAGAGTGTAGCGCCGTGACCTTAGATCAAGGCGAGGAACGCAATTGCACTGGATGAGATCGAAGTAGCCGGGACGATGGGAATCAAATGGATTCGCCGTGGCAATAATTGAGAAATACGTGAAGGAAGGAATGGGTCGGTGCTTCAGGAAAGTCAACAGGGTGCGTTAGGAGTAGCATGTTATGAGATTGCACGGTGGATACGATACGATAGGAAGCTTGGAAAGGTGGCTGTCGGGATGTGCTGAAAAGGCGTGGTGATGAAAAAGGAAAAAGGAAAACAGAGAGAAAAAACACTATGGGGATGTTATACTATGGTAACGGATAAAAAGGCGTATAGAGAAAGAAGGCGAGGAGAAGCAACGAAGAAGGAGCTGAAGTAGGTTGAGATGGTGCTGGACAAAAATGCTATGAGGTGTATAAGGTTGCTAAGATGGAAGGTAACATGCCTGTTGGGATGCAGTTATTGCAGTCACGTCTGGTCTAGCCACGGCGGTTCGCGGTGAAGCAGCCAACTGTCTCCTCGCCCTTTACTTCTTTTTCGCATTAACCGCGCTCAATTTAATCCCTCCTACTGTGTTGGAAAAAGTGACAGCTCTGCGGATTCCACGACACCGGGACACTCCCAGAAAAACCGGATATCCCGTCAGAACCGATATCGTGATCTCGGGGACTTGCGATTTTTCATCATCAACCGGAAAGGACCTGGAAACGAAACGTGCGATTCCTGCACGAATTACCTGCTATAGGTTGACAGTGGCTTTACGCGTTTATTAATTCATAGTTTTTATTCCATAAAATGTGCCATTCAGATTTTTGTATAACGAAGAAAATTTCGGTTCTATCCCCATACGCGAGATAATCATGTCGCGGAGCGTGTATCAACGTTCGAAAAAAATGTCACTCGGCGCCATTGTACAATTTTATTGCATTCACGCCAAAGATGTTCGCTACGTGAGCCGGAAGAGAAGAGAAGTATCTGAAAATGCAGGGTGAGGCTCAAGCAAGACATAAAATAGTATATATCCGTCGAAGTAGAAACCCATTAAACATCCATCGCACTTTTCAATATTTCTATATTCATCCTGTCGAATCGATATATCGAAATACGAATTTCTCTCCCTACCATGACAACCAGGTAAATCCCCTTGCTAATAACAAGACTCGCTTCAACACAGTATCCGCTAAGCGTGACCTCTGAACCATGCAGTAACTCCACGTAAAACTCTTAATTCTTTCCTCTTCGTTTATAAAGTAAAAAAAAAAAGAAAAATAAAAAAAGTTCCAGATACAAAGAAAATTCAACGAAGCACTTTTCCATGACATACAATTAGCATTTTACATTATCGACGAAAAAAAAATAAACCAGAAGTACACTTGGCGGAAAATTAAGTTCGTTTTACAATTCTTTTCAGAACTTTGATATATACGTAGTACCCCAGTTCGTCCTACTACGTTGCACCCTGGACTACTAAAACGAGCATCGATCAATACATCATATAGGAATTAAGTTTCGAATGAAGATTAAGTGCCTCATCCTCGGTAGGAAAACGTACGTGTAATTAAAGGTTTCGACCTCTAATTAGTCTAGGAGTGGCCCACGAAAACTCAAACCTCGAGGCTAGTAAGACATTAAAAAGCAGATGGACTTAACAGTGCCTGAATATGGTACCTATAACAATAATAGTATCTACAGCAGTAGAATAAGACCGTGGTACTCAGCCAAGAGAATTTATCCTGAAGAAGTCAGACTCGATTTCGCAAACGTTACCTCCATTGCGCAACGGTTAGAGGGTTCGGCGGGGTGGATTTAATGTTTTCAATTTTTCATTCTAAGACGCGACCCTTCTGCTACCAGGGTGTTTTAAATCTTACAATCTGCGAAACTCGCGGCCGAGTCAGTTTCCTCGCTTCACCTCCAACCTTCTTTTCTTTCTTTACTCTCTACCCCCTAGCCCCTTCTCTCCCTTTCTCACATATACAGACTCAATCAGCCATTCTTCCTCTCTCTCAATTCCGCATCTCTACCCTTTATCAGACTCCCTTACTCTTGTTACATTCTCAGCTGGCAAGCGAAACGAGCCTGCCAAAGAAAACAGGGCCACCGAGACGAAGCGCCAGTGCTTAAGAGGATAAGAACGCTTGAAATCTGAACGAGCGTTAAACGTTGCTAGAGTTACTGGTGCGGAAGACACGGGAGATGATCGTCGTTGTGAAAATAAAAAAAAAAAAGTACAAAAACTTAAATAGATTTTTTTTTTCTTAACGAGTCCCATAAATTAAATTGAACTATATATTAAAAATAGTATATCAATAATATTGTATACTCACTTTTCGTAAGTAACCGGTAAAGGTTTATCCGCACTTTCGTCACTTGAACACTAAACCACTACTCCTTTACGAAGCTTTTAATTATTGATTTATAGTATGCTTAATAAATATAACTGGTAGCTCTGCCGGTTCTGTTCGAGCTGCGTACTTTTGAGAATACAATAGAATAATAATCTTCGGTTCGGTTAATAGTTATCTATTCTGTTGAGTTAACGAGCTACGATTCTCGGTAACGTCCAGATCAGGATAATGACCGTGACAAACTGAGTATCGCGAGGAAAAAGAAATAATGAAGCTACGTGTATTCCCGTTGATAATCGATCAAGGATGCCGTATCAATTCGCAGCGGATTCTCTCAGCTATCCGTAAGGACTATCTTTCTCTCGTTTTTGGTCTATACGAGATTGCTTATATATAGAAAAAAAAAATCTTAGGTAATTCCCAAACTTCACGCGAGAAAATTGTGCGTTCAATTCTAATAAATACTCGAAGCTCACGTACGCACGCGTCTCCCCAGTAATACCGGCTCGAGCAAACTCTATTATCAAATGTACTATTTAACGTACAAGTTAATCACACTCACTAACTCCTCGACTAATTGGACGTACACGTTACTACTGTACTGATTCTTCTGTTGCCTTGATTTCTTTGAATTTACGATAAAATTCACTCTTTAGGTAATCCACTGGCGGTTTTTATATATGCTTATATTATTGTAGGGTCGATGCACGTTAACTTTTCGAATGCTATATTATATACTGTGTACAGGTATATTCGTATTAACACACTTGCGAATCTTATACTACGTATTATATCTTGAGTGTCGATGCGTTCAACGAGACAAATTGAGTTTAGGCTAAACACACGTCACTTGGAATGACTCTGTGCCAGAGCTCCTGCACGTTCTTGACTTCCTTTTCCGGGTTTTCGTGTCTAAGATTATCCTGAGAAGATGAGCAGACACTGAAGTTTAGCCTCGTGGCGTTAGAACGAATTGAAATATTCAGGATTCAGACAAACCGTGAGAATTCCGTGAGACGATAAAGATCCTTTTGCTATGTTTATCAATACAATTTCTTTAATTCAAATTTTATTGCATCCGACTGCTGTCATGACACTACTGATTGGTAGATTGTCGAGATTCCTCAAGGAGCACGCGATGGCACGTCGAATTCGAAACGAGCTGTACCTGTACTGCCCCTTTTTGCGCTTTGACGTTTTCAAATGTCAAGCGTGTTTGTTATTGTTTGACGATTCTGAACTGACGCGACAGTAGACAATGGTACTATATTAATTTTTCTCAGGCTTAATTCATAGATCGAGTTGTGTTGATTTCGCTTGGTAATAAGTGGGATTGGAGATAATCTGTTCTCGAGTATCGATTAGGAGAGCCTAATTCATTATCAAATTAATTGTATCTTATTTGATTTCATTCAGAGATTTAACTTCGTTATCAAACTTTCTTGTTATTATTCTGTCAATTTTCTCATATCGCACCAGGCACCTTCAAGATATCCAGACGCCTTCCTCAATGAGAAAAGCGATTTCACCTTGTAGATAATATCACCGACCAACTGTTTGCACACTGATACTATTAAATCACTCTCAGCACTAGTCACTGTTTATCCCCAGAGAAATTCGACTATGTCATTCGACAGTGCAATACTCCGATCGAATAATCCGAGAATAATGAAAATCACTTATGTAAGACACAATGCACTTTAATCCCCTTGACGTAAAAACAATGGGAAACACGAGTACGAGTGATCCACCTATGGAAAATCGCCTATTAAAATATCACCGATCTCGCTCCCAAAACAAGATCCCGTGGAACGTGTTCTCACCACGCGACTCTCACGATCTCCCCACCTTTCCTCTTACGATCTCGCACCCTCTCTCACTCGACCCAACCTTTTTCTCTATCCTTTGATCTCTCTCCGTAACCCTTTCCCTTCTCGCAGACTCCGCTCACCACGCAACACGAAGAATCCTCTCGGAGGATTGGTCGCAGAGGATTCGCAATAGAGACACGCACGGCTAAAACCGATCTCGATTTAAAGAATACGATCTGATAACGGACGACAATGAACCGTATCTATGTTAATTATCGAACGATGCTCCGACTGAGACTGAGTAGAGAAAATGCAACTCCCGTTTGATCTTTGATACGTCCCGCATTAAATCTTACGTATTCGGGAATATCGCGTGGATTTCTCGATCGTGCTCCCGTCCCGTGGCTGCTCGCTCGTCCGTTGGCGGGCTTCGAATGACGAGCTACACTCTCTCCCCACGCAACCGCTCTCTCAGCGGCGGCACCGAGTACGACGGAGAGGATAGCAGCGCTTATAGGGGCGAGGTCATTGAGTACGAGAGAGACGTCGTTCTGGCTGCGCAAGCGCCAAGTATGTGTGCTGGATGGAAGCAACCCCTGCCAGCCGTACGCAGACTTCCGCCAGTGAGGAACACCCCGCGCGGGATACGCAGACATCCTCGGTGTCTGCAGATAGCCAGACAGACAACCAGTACTCCTCTAGGTACCCTAGGATAGGTGTACCTGACTACCTGGCTGGCTGGCTGGATGGCTGGCTGGCTGGATGGATGGATGGATGGATGGATGGATAGATGCGTGCTTCCTTCCGGCAATGAGAGTGGGGACTTTTAAGACCAATGACACAGCCCGGCTATCTCATTAAGACCACGTGAGACGCGTTATTATGTTGCATCTTCCCTTAGTAAATTGTACAGGGAATAGTTACATACAGGTAGAATGTTGTTCGTTTGATAAATAGGGATGCATGAGGGATCTTTGAGTGGGGGGTTGTGCGTCAATAACGTGAAATGGAATCATTGGGTTTGAGTTGTCGCTTCTTTATTGAATTTTTTTTCTCGGGGGGGAGTGAAAAAGTACGGTAGCTCAAGTTACCTTAAAAAGACGCCACTCGTTCGCTGATACCACTCTCTGACGTGTTCCAAGTATTCCGAAAGGAAAAATAAAAGATTATTATGGCTCGTACTTAAGTATAATTGTGTTTTCTTACTAAAACTTGATAATACCGGCAGACAATTTACGTGTTTTTTTTAACTTTCATGTCACACAGCTTCTTTTGCCGAACGAGAAAGATGTTTTGAATTCGCACGCCGAGGCTTTGAATTTCTTGAGTGTGCAACTCCCTGAAATTCCCCACGTAGCCGCAGGGTACCGAGTTTCGTGAATAAGTGTCCTTCACGGGTGCGAGGATGTACGGAAAATACCTTTCATCCCCTATACGCACTCTCTCCTATCCTTTTCTCTCTTTCTCTTCCTTCCTCATTCATTATCCATCTCTCTCTGGCATGCTTCTACTCTCTCCCCGTCTCCCTCCTCCGTTCCCACCTTTTCCCATAGCGTCTCTCTCATTTTTCTACTAATCCCCCTCGCCCACCTCACTGCCCCTTTGTCACTCAACTACAGAAGAGCATTTTTCACACACGCGACGAAGCCCGACGTGGTCTCCTCATTAGGGGTGCGCAAGATTCGCGCATGTGTCGCATAATTAACGCCCGGAAAATCATTACTGTTTTAATTTCAACCGACGCAGTACCGATCCTCTGCTACTGGCTTCTAGACCGTTCCGCTTTAACACGTTAATGTCCCTCAAACGTTCTTTAGTAATAAGAAAAGCTAATGACTACCTCGAAAATAGCAACTTTTCGACTTCGTTATAACGAGGGACTTTGAATTCTTCAAAAACACATCTTACGTATACATTTTCACTATCTCTTTATCTCTCATTTATCTCCCTCTCTATGGCTATCTCAACCTCTAGAAAAGCATCTTAATCGCTAAAATATCCAAGATGTCACGTGAAGCTCTTAAACCAGCTACTTTCTCAGGGAAACAGTAAGCGGCTGCTTGTTCTGCTTTACCAACTTGTTTGTCAGTCGCCGACCTTACGTGGAGACTTACGAGATGAAAATGGCAAGAATAACAGAACGAGATAAAAATAGTAGAAAAATGTTCTGATAGGCAGACAAAAGTTTGAAATTACGAGATACCGATCTTCGACTATATCGAGGGATGCTGGAATCGTTGGACGAACAATAACCCAGAGCCTTCGGGGTGAATAGGTCGCCTTTAGCTATTAAAGTCTCCTTATCTAAAAACTCCTTTAAAAGTGTAACACGGAATAGAAGATAGTACAGTACTTTTCTGGGTACTCAGTGCGATTCATATCTCTCTCTTGTTTATCGACTCGACTCCATCATTATGTTACTTTTTTCCCCTTTCAGTTTTTCATAACAGGCACGTTCAATTATCGGACTGTGAAGATTTCAAGGGTCTCTCAATGCGAAAAGTCAACCATACCAATCTGGCAGCCACTTCGTGATTTTTAACCGTTTCACCATAAGACCAACGCTATTGATATTATTAAATGCCAATGGATACTCAAAAATTATGGGAATTTCACATTCTGGATTTGTCAGACCATCCATTACAATCTGTCACAGTCCTACCTATCCAAGTAACATTAAATCGTTCTATTTGTACCGATCCTTAATAAATAATAACGCCCAAAGAAAAATGTTTTTTCTCAAAAATATTGAATTTTCAAAAACTACACTGTGTATGGTTAACAAGCCAAATATAAAATTCCAAATACCTAAAGTCACTAGCATTTTCGAAGACAAAAGACATGCGTCCACAGTAGCACCAGAAGCACGTTGTACTTACCCTCAGCAGCTTATGGGCTTCCGTTCGGGCCCCAACAGAATTCAATTTTATCGATGTTCATTTTTTTTGTTTTCTCTCTCCTCCCTCTAGTCTCCTTTCGTGAATCCACTCCAGCACGACTCCAGGGTGCGGTGCTAAATAATGCAGAACAAACAAGACCGTCTACACAAACACGACACGGCATAGCCCCATGCGTGATACACTCATAGACTTTGTGCACGTCAGTTACTATACTCGGCCTGACTTCAGAAGACCACCACCCTTGCCAACTGTCTTCTCAGTGTATTGAACTTTCTTCGTGCAATTAAATATTTAATGATCTGATCGATACTGTCCTTTCCTGTACACTAGCGGTAACCTAGCAGAACCTTTGACTGGACTATGCATGGCATTCTTTCTGTCTCCTTCTCTCTCCCTCTTTCACTCATTCCCTCAGTCACTCTATCTTTCTCACTACCACGCTCATCATAAAGTGCTTCAAATCTTGTACCCTCGCATACAACTGCACAGGGTATACTTACAGGATAGAGGTGACGTCAACAGCAATCTACTATCTTTCTAAAAGTTATGATTTGGGCCATACCTTTTTTTTTTTTTTTTTTGAAAATAATAATTTCTTTATTCACAAAGTGAACGTGTAACAGAGATATGAAAAACCTATAATTAGTCTTCCAATGAAAGATCATCAGATCACAATTGGCTGAACTATAATACTTTTTTTTTCTTTTTCTTATGAAAGATCAACATCTCTCGATATTATAATAAATTTTAAAAAAGTAATTTCCGAATGGAAATTCCTTCTGGGTTTTACGAAAGTCATGAATATCGTTATTTACTCAAAAGACATCAACCAGAAGCAGCTCTCTCGGAGACACATCTAATTCGTGGCTGATCAAATATCATATTCGCTCGACTCTCTTAATCATAACGTAGTATTCAGAGAATTATTACTAATAAACTATACAATTGATATATCCAAAGGCCAAGACGTTGTCTGTATGAAAATATAGTCTGTTCCATGTAAATTAGACCAAATTTATTTTTAATAAAAAATAATTTGAAATCAAATATTTTTCATAAATCGTAAATACACGTAAGAATCACTTACGCTACGTTACGATGAAATTCGCGTATCGTCTAATGTACCATACATGAGAATATATAATTTTGTAATCAGTGCTATCTAGCGATCTCTCGATATAATCCAACAAAAGACATCCTCCAGTGGCTGCATACAAGTATGTAGTATTTTATGGGCACTCGCGACTTTTCATTTCATTTGACTCTGTTTACTCAACCGGCGACAGTGGTACAGACCAATAACGCGTAACGAGAGATACTTTGCTGCTCGTACAACTCACTTTACTCTGTCAAAGACCAGTTTCACTATCGTTATGTCAAGTATATATATACACGTAGCTGACTGCCTACTATAGATCAATTGCCTTGACTTTCGCTTAACAGATAAATCGAATTACTCACACCCCATTAGGTTGGCAATGAAGCGTTCGAGAAACATTGGGAGACTATCGATACGAAACGATACGACAAGTCCAGTTGTCAGGGAAATATCTCATTAAGAGACTCGTTCCTCCTTTAAAAAACAAACTGTCAAAGAAGGTGTAGCCCTAATCACTTTTTGTCACGATGAAATTTCCGAAATGTCGCAGATTATAAAATCCTACCAACTCCATTTAATAAGGGACGTAAATCGATTAATTCGTCGTCTAAGATAATGTCAGGCTGTTCATATTATCTGATAATTCAGAATATCTGATATCGAAGACTAGGTAGATAATCGAATTAGTTATGAATTTCAAGATAATTTGATACTCAAAAAGTAAGGAAATTCATTTGGGTATAGGTAGGTTATAAAAATTTGGTACTACTCGGCGATTACCTGGCGAATCAACATGGTTCGAATGTGAAACCAATACCAGTGGTGCCACTTCCAACTCTCTACCCTGCATGACCCGTGTCTATAAACCAAAGTGCAATTCGGCCTATGAAACGAAGCCATGGTGTTTCTACGCATAGCTCTAGCATTTAGTACGTATCCGAATAGACACAAAGGGGATGTCAGTAAATCAATGTTTTTTATAAAATTAAAACTTTGAGGAATTCGTAAAATTTACTTAGAAATAAAAGAAAGCTTTACTTTTGAGGTTAAGAAGAAACTGTTTTACCCCAAAATTGATATTCCAGCACACACTACGTTGCAATTATCATTAGGCTCCTTCAAGCGGATAGTATTAAAACGATTGAATTATTTTATGCCAAGAGTATTTCAGTGGGAAAAGTCATAAAAGCACGTAAAGTTCTACGCGATTTGAGTGCCTCAGTACAGGAGGGTTTCTTGTCATTAATAACCCCTGAAAAACACTTACGTGTAAAGAACTATGCCAAGTACAGGAGTGCTGTGAATTCCTCTAACAAAAAGTATTGAAATCACATTATTAATGCCAAGTACATAAGTAACTACATATCTGGTTATTATATGATCTAGCACTAGCCGATCATTTTAATTGTATTTTCCAAATTCCCTATAACGTCTTCGTTACTCTTTTATACCACTACTGCTTCTCATGCTTAATTATGGTTGAATGGTCATTGAATAATTAATCAAACTTTTGGTGATTCCTTATCGAGTACTACTTGACGGGTCCATGCCAGGAATTTCAAAGTACTTACTTTGGACGTACTAATAGTATTAGTACTAAGACTATATGATTGTTATTAGGCTTTTACCGTGGTTATCTTTGATGAGTTATTACTAATATGCTCTATATAGAAAGTTGACGTTTGTTTTGAGTTTGAAGACTGGCATAGTACAAAAAACACAGATAGAGAATGGAACTGGAATAAGCAGGTTAACGAAATGGTCGGTAGCAAACAAGAGTTTCCGCTGGCAATTTCCGTGGACCTCAACTCGGCTGCGAATTTTCCCTTTCTCGAAACGACAAGAACAAGGAAAAGCGCAGCCGCACCGTTTCACCCCAACGTCACTCTGCGTCTGAGGATGAAGGAGAGAAATCTAAAGAAAAAAATACCTAGTACAATCTCTATGGATATGTGTTGTAAGGAAAAAAAAATAAGAGAAGGTTTCTTAGATAAAGATAGAGATAGAAAAATACTCTAATATACTTTAATAATACTCTCTTTAATATACTCTAATAATAATACTTTCGCTTACAATTGACTCGATACTCTTTCTGAATTTCCCGGGACTAAGCAATACGAAACAAACTAGGCTTAGTAAAATTCCGGATGGGCGCCGGACACATCGTTGCGTCACAATACCTAAAGGAACTACCCGTAAAATATGAAAAGAAGACCGACTAGCAGGAACGAACGAAAAGGTATGCTAGAGGGTCTGGGTCGACGCTGATGTTAAAGAAAGGAAAGACAGAGGAAAAGATAGTGAGAAGAAATCAGATTGAGAACCCATGAAATTCAGTAACCAAAATCATAACACACTGGCCCTTTTATTCAAAATAAATATCATGCGAGACAAGATACTCTTCACGACACGTTAACAATATTCGCAACAGAAAAGATAATTACTACAAAAGTTCCACAAGATTCGAGAGAACGCAAAAACAGAAAGTATGTAACTTAAATTAACGAAAAGACAACACGTGAACTGACGAGACGCGTGGAGCACGGATTCGTTCAACAGACACCACAATTTTTCGCTGCTCAACGGGATATATCAAAGAAGTTCTAAGCACTCGGATCTGTATTGTTAGAGATATAAAATGTAAATACATTGTGATATATATAAATTTTAAAAGAAAATGTAATCTTGAATTCGGATAAGCTTCATTAATGGTGTCCAGCTTGTTGACGCCGTGTAGTAAAGGTAAGAGAGGAGAGTTGTGCAGGATTATTCACGTACCTCAGGTCGTGCGAGCGACAGAGAAGATACTATGGTGTGAACGAAGCGCGACTGAGTTTACACGTAAAAGGGAAGCTTCATTCATTGGCCGAATTGCGACAAGCTAGAGACAATCGAGTCGCCATCAAGAGTGCCAATGGGAAGCCTAAGAACAAACTCCCCTAGGTTCTAGATATCTCCGGCATCCGGTATAACCTGAGTCAAATTCACACTCGCATTAATTTCCGTTCTAGATAACGTCCTGATCCACGCCCATGATTAACAAAAGTCCTGATGCGTCATACAAGAACCCTGATCATCCATTTTCTGTCAATCGTTCTACATAATTGCATAGTCACTGTTGCAAATATATCCCTCGGTGTGCACTGTATCGATTAACAAGACGACAACGTATGTTACTCTATTGACCTACCTCAAAACCATACAATGCAATGTACGCTCTCTGATCTTACAATTAACCTTGCGGCTAATCAGCTATGTAGACACGTTCCCGCTGCCCTGATTAGTGATTACCATCAAAGGACCAAGGATACTTACGTATCCCCAGGATGTTTAATTTTGAGCATCAATCGCAATTGATCGATCATCGTTCAAAAATCGCGCACACGGTCTTCAAAGTTCTTCCTTGAACCCCAAATAAAAGATTAGAGCATGATAGGCAAATGATGGAAATTTGATTAAATCATATAACCTTATCATACTATGTATTTATAAGTTAGGTCAGATAGGTTAGGTACTATTACTATTACCCGTGATGATGTCTACTTTTTATTTCTCCGTCCATCTGTCACTTTAAAATTTTACAAGCAGTAACCAAACGCCGCACGATGACATTGCTGAGGACGTGAGTTTATGATTTCACGCAGGCACCTCATGGATCGCCAAACCAATCGCCAGGTAGTTATGGTTTTTCATTCTCAGTTTTACGAGCTTTGGTTTTTCCCGTTACGTTACACTGCACTCTCGTTAACGTCACGTTAATACCGATGATACGTACTGTCTACTGTAGTGACCTGGACGCGCACGTCTTCCAACGAACATTCCTCCCTTATTCGGCATATGCAGCCAGACTGAAAATATTTCCTGGGAAACTTTGACTTCTTCCATATTAGACCAATCAGAATTCTGCGGATTCAGTAACTAGTCCTCTTTTCATTGACACCCATTTTCCATTTCCAGTTATATGTCGAACTTCGTCACCCGATTTTTACAAACTCTGATCTTTATCGTGCTCAACTTTCGGTGAGGATGCTTGGCTACCTGTCTATGTATATACTTGTCCTATACACCTCCTTAGCTCCTTCTTTTGCAACCAGCGAACAATTTTCCTCGAGTTTCCAACTCTTTCTCGAACCTCGTACCCAGGTCGTAGGTAAGTACCTATCGAAATTCTGTGGTCGAGCCACTCTTGTAGCTCTCGTGGCTTATGGCTTCTGGTCAACGAAAAAAATGCAATTGCGGATTTTTCAGCCATTTTCTAGATCTAGATTGTGACTGTCCGTTGGATTACCTACGCCTTCCACGTGCTTCACTTTTATACTTTTTTCCACTTTCCTGGAACGATACCATCCTTTTAGTGGCCACCTACCAGGTCCATTTGATACTATCGGAAAATTAAGTCATTAACCGCAATTTTTGTACGTTTCATTCTACCTAGAGCAACTACGGAAAGTGGATCGGGTATCATTGAATTATCTGCTCAATACTCATTAATACATCCTTAACACGCTTCATTGATTAGGGACGTTGTAATTCTTAAATAATTCTTAGTACGAAGTACTTTTCACGTCATTCATTTATACTGATGAAATAGCCAAATTATATAGTTGATTCATAAATTTCACCAAGTAACATTAAATTTCAATATAATTTATTCTAAAATATATAGTTCCCTTACCTTATACCATTTTTACATTATCTTTCCCCGACTGCCTCTCCAGACATTCCTTTCTGATAAGAATCTGAAAAATATTTAAATCATAGTACAGTCAATATCAAAATTCCTTTCCAACTATTATAATCAAATGCTTATCAGTCGTCACAAACCAATACGATCAATCAGATATCAGCAGGTTAAAAATAGCAAGTATCGTATAAGTAATCAAATGATAATATCACACTCCCAGTAATAAATCATTGATTCGCGCATTCCATAACAAAAGTAGACCTCTTACAAGAATAAAAGTGAAGCTCTAGACTACATATGGATACGTACGTCACGAATATACCAGTCGAGGCTATTTTTATTTAGTTTCCATATATAATACATGACAGACTGCTCATAGAGAAGAAAGGTACATGTGCCGCCATTCACAGGACTGATCATTTATACCCTGATCGTTCAAACGTGGAGAAGGAGGTGCCCTGAGTTGCCAACGAAACGTGACGCAATTGAATTCTCCATAAGTATCCTATGACATTATTAAGAAATGGAGACATCGATTTTGTTTCATTAAAAATAATGCAATTGTTTCTAACTGACTTCTACCTGAATCACGTGGCACAGTTCTCTACCAACGATACCTCATATGAATGTTTATTCATAATTAATTTCATGAATATATCATGAGAATATATATAGAACGAACTTCCAGGTTATTCTCGTATTGCAATCTATAATAGACCATTTTCTTGACGTACGTATGTACATGGTACACCCAGGCATGTAGGTACCTAGTAGGTACTACTTAGGTCAGCAAAGAATAGTAGGCCAACTATATCTATATCTGGTAGAGACATACGAGAAAGGTTATGAATGCAAAATGGCGAATGGAATGAATAGACAAGTGTGTAAAATAAGAAATCACGTGACACACGTGACGTGACACACTTATTCAGGCTAAGGAGAACAAATGCAGCATGAGAAATTCTTAAGCTCACAATGAGAATAAAACTGTAGACTCGCAACTGGAACAATTGTTAGAATCCCAAGGAGTCTTGTTCAGCTTTTTTTCTTTTGTTTAAAAAAGACGCGAAGAAACCAGTATCTCGAGAAAAAAGGGAAAAGCAAAGAAGCGACTAGAGGGTCTCATAAAGAGATACCATTAAATTTATTTGTCATGGACAGCCACGATTATCGTTTCCCTCTCTAGCTGCTGCCTACAGTCTGTTAGAATTTTTCAATAAAATCCATCGCGATAACGGACCCTGTAACGTTTATCGTTTATTTCATTTGCAAATGCGGAGCCCCGAGCTTTCTGTTTACGGATGACCCGCAAGCCAGCGCTTAAAACGTTAAAGGCAAAGCGCTTTTGGCGCCCGAGCCGAGTGACTAACAAATTCCGTAGTTCACGGCATATTTAACGCGAAAAAGCTTCGGTTTCGTTGATTTTTAGTTCGATTCGCCGAGTGAAAGAGGCAACGAGGCGAAATTTCCGGGCCGCCCACCGCAGGAAGCACCGTGACTCACCCCATAATAGTGTAACACCCCGCAACCCTATACCAAAGCGTAGCTCGCTTTTTATATTTTATCAAGCCTTTACATGGGCGTAACCCAACGGGACGTAGTTGCGTACCAATTCGAACCAAGAATTTCATTCAATCGCCCGAATATCACTCGATTTAACTATACGAGATCCATTTATCGTTGGCTTCCCGTGAAACGTAAAATTACCCAGGAATTAAACAACATGTTTTATTAAATACTTTTTTTACCAATTTCTATTTCCCCTTTTTTGTCATTATTTTTAGTCACTTTCACCATAACGAGTATAATATACGTGTCTATAACTTCGTATACGGGATGTGCTGACGGTTACAAGTATTTCCCACGATTTTCACACTCGGCGCCCATGGGGCGTTCCTCGAGCATTGATGAGACCTGCCAACAACAGTCATTGTGGGTGGGGCCGCGGACCATATGCAAGCTCTAATAGTTCTCTGAAATACGTTTTTGTGCGAGTGACTTTTATCATGAAGGGTAGGCGCGCAAGAGGAAAAAAAATGAGCGGAAGGATAAAAAAACCGCCACTCATCACGCAAAATGAAGAGCGGTGACGCGCTGGCAAGTAGTCCACGCTCCCGCGTAAAGAACCCCCGCTGCTAGAGGAAGGTTCATGCCCCTTTGAAAATTAGTAGCCAACAACACGAACAGTTATATTCTTTCGTAGAACCGGTCGCACGATATTCCACGAGTAATGTTATGATGTCTAGAAAATAATGTGACAGTTGGACGCTCTAAGTATGATTACTCGTCTAAATGTTTAAAAGGTAGAAAATTCATTTCATCGAGTGTTCGATAATGAATTAGAGGAGTGGATAAAGTACGATCGGGTCTCTCAGTACAAATAATACAGATAGAGAATGGAGACGGAATAAGTAGGTTAACGAAATGGTCGGTAGCAAACAAGAGTTTCCGCTGGCAATTTACGCGGACCTCAATACGGCCGCAAGTTTTCCCTTTCTCGAAACGAGAAGAACAAGAACAAGCACGTTTCACTCTAACGTCACTCTGCGTCTGAGGATCAGGGAGGAAACTCTAAAGAAAAAAAAATGTAGTACAATCTCTATGGATATGTTGTAACGTGGCGTCAGGACGACACGTTACAGAAGCCCCGCACCTCCGCGCGCTGCCGGCAGCACGGCAGTGCCTCCAGCCTCCATCTCCAAAGAGTTCGTAGGTCCGTGGTTGGGAGGAGGGAACGGGGGAAAGTAGTGGACTGGCGGCGGAGGCACGTAGCCCTTTTGGGTTGAGAGCCCGCAAGCAAGGGGTGCTCAACCGCCAGGACGCACTGCCGGTACCCCGGGAACTTTGATCGGCTACGGTTTGCGGGTCCGCGGGGAGGGCGCCGGAGAGGAGATTTGTTTTGATTTTTGACCTACCGCGAAGAGCGGTAGGTAGGATAAAGAGAGTGTGTCGCGGGGAGTCCGCGTGTAGATAGCCGAGCGGGAGTGGTGCCGACACACGGAGGCCTCAGGTGGCTACCGACGTCAGAGGGCACACTCCCGAGGAAGGAAAGGCTCGTCTCCAACGAGACCTGTTAGGATCGCGAATCGCGCCGCGAAGGGATTCGCGGATTCGGTAGGGACACCGAAATAGGGACAGGTCTTGGGCAGGCTGGAAATCACGACTCGGAATAGTCGTGAGCCGCCGTTGGAGGACACACTGTACGCGACGGGATTTGTATTGTAAAATCCGCCGTTTATTGGATGGTAATAAACGGAACGGTATCCTACTCGCTGTTTTATCATTTTGCGCGCCTATCCGTTGGTTCCAAAATTCTCTCACGTCGCCCCCATGTTCCCCTCTACCATTTTCAGTGCGCTGAGGCTGAGCCGCCGGGAAACCTGAAAACGGCCGGGGTGAGGGATGCTCGCTGTTTTATCATTTTGCGCGCCTATCCGTTGGTTCCAAAATTCTCTCACGTCGCCCCCATGTTCCCCTCTACCATTTTCAGTGCGCTGAGGCTGAGCCGCCGGGAAACCTGAAAACGGCCGTGGTGAGGGATGGTGGTGCGGGAAAGCCGCACCTGGCGCCCAACAATTAGATCTTCGGATCTTTTCTTTGATAACAGCACGTTGGGAGCAGCCACGGATTATTTGTAGGCGACGCCGATGAACGGTACACGTCACAATGTATATACATGGTGTTCCGAAATTATTTGACCAACGGGGTATGGCGGTGTTCGGGAGGCACCACTGATCACGAAAATAACCTTCCTTTTCTCCGGAAGGTCATAGTTTTTAAATGGGAGCATGTCAAAGTTGACCAATCAAAACGAGGTGTCAAGAGAAACGTAGGTACCCACGAACTCTGAGTTTTCTTCCCTCGCTTTTGTTTCTCGGTGGTTATGGGCAGTATGACGTCAGCCGAAGACATGCCTATTGGATGTCACTCGCTGAGAACAGAAGTTCTCAATTGAACAGTCAAGCACTAACTGAAAACTGGAATGTTCTATGATAAAGCTATTTGACTTACACAGATATCTCTTGTGACGTCTTACGTAGATAATCCTGATCTCGCTTTTCTTCCATTGATCTCCAGCGATTCGTGCTACATCCCGTTGACGAATTGCAATAAAATTCTAATGCAATTAACGACTTTTCATAATTTATAAAGCATAAAGATTGCCATTTCTTTTCAGCAACTCGTCCATGACCACTGCGAAAAACAGCCGTCGCGTCGGCATTTACTTCATTCTAGGAAAGGTTTTTGTTCACACGACTCGTACGACCAGACTTCCTGGAATCTGTACATCCCAAATCAATCAGGGTGGTCGATTACAGATTTTAATTCTCATCAGCCCCCCTTGAGCAATTCGAAATTTAGATTTCGCCCACCCTTTAGCTCGCAGTACTATACAGTTGTGCAAAATCTTATATAACTTTATACAGATAAGAAAGGCGAAGGGCTTAATGATTGTGACGCGTGACCAAATTTGATGCATAATCCAATGCGTTCTGAAAGGCACATTATAATCGGGTACAATAAAAAAAAATATTCAAAAAGGATACTCGATTCCGTATAATACGATTGTATATAACCACTCACATGCTTTAATATTTAGAATCAGATATTATTTAATTACATTCTGAGCAAAGTTATTTGAAGCATCATAACAGTTGAACCGCTTCCTTTGAGGTCCAACTGAATGACGAGATCAGTGTCATTCATATTATTACTGACTCCATTAACAGAGCTTACAATAGATGCACAAACATTAAATTTTCATATGAATGTTTTTACTAATTATGTCATTTACATCAGCAACACTATGGATAGTATTGTTCCAATTTCAATTACCGTCGGAAGTAATTCAGTGGCCGCAGTGCCATCCGACCCACTAAAGTCGCCACTACCCGGAGCCGCCGCTAGTGCCGCCGCCGCTACCCGTGCCGCCGCCGCTACCCGTGCCGCCGCCGCTACCCGTGCCGCCGCCGCTACCCGTGCCGCCGCCGCTACCCGTGCCGCCGCCGCTACCCGTGCCGCCGCCGCTACCCGTGCCGCCGCCGCTACCCGTGCCGCCGCCGCTACCCGTGCCGCCGCCGCTACCCGTGCCGCCGCCGCTACCCGTGCCGCCGCCGCTACCCGTGCCGCCGCCGCTACCCGTGCCGCCGCCGCTACCCGTGCCGCCGCCGCTACCCGTGCCGCCGCCGCTACCCGTGCCGCCGCCGCTACCCGTGCCGCCGCCGCTACCCGTGCCGCCGCCGCTACCCGTGCCGCCGCCGCTACCCGTGCCGCCGCCGCTACCCGTGCCGCCGCCGCTACCCGTGCCGCCGCCGCTACCCGTGCCGCCGCCGCTACCCGTGCCGCCGCCGCTACCCGTGCCGCCGCCGCTACCCGTGCCGCCGCCGCTACCCGTGCCGCCGCCGCTACCCGTGCCGCCGCCGCTACCCGTGCCGCCGCCGCTACCCGTGCCGCCGCCGCTACCCGTGCCGCCGCCGCTACCCGTGCCGCCGCCGCTACCCGTGCCGCCGCCGCTACCCGTGCCGCCGCCGCTACCCGTGCCGCCGCCGCTACCCGTGCCGCCGCCGCTACCCGTGCCGCCGCCGCTACCCGTGCCGCCGCCGCTACCCGTGCCGCCGCCGCTACCCGTGCCGCCGCCGCTACCCGTGCCGCCGCCGCTACCCGTGCCGCCGCCGCTACCCGTGCCGCCGCCGCTACCCGTGCCGCCGCCGCTACCCGTGCCGCCGCCGCTACCCGTGCCGCCGCCGCTACCCGTGCCGCCGCCGCTACCCGTGCCGCCGCCGCTACCCGTGCCGCCGCCGCTACCCGTGCCGCCGCCGCTACCCGTGCCGCCGCCGCTACCCGTGCCGCCGCCGCTACCCGTGCCGCCGCCGCTACCCGTGCCGCCGCCGCTACCCGTGCCGCCGCCGCTACTGGTTCCATTATTGCAAGTGCCGTTCGTCCCACCAGAGCTGGTTCCGTTATTGCAAGTGCCGTTCGTGGCACTCGAGCTGGAGTTCCCGGAACTGGTTCCATTATTGCAAGTGCCGTTCGTCCCACCAGAGCTGGTTCCGTTATTGCAAGTGCCATTATTGAGAGTGCCATTGCCCGCGGTAGTGCTGGAATTGGTTCCATTCGTGCCACCGGAGCCGCTGCCACCGGAGCCGCTGCCACCGGAGCCGCTGCCACCGGAGCCGCCGCTATCGGACCTGCAGGTACCAGAGCCGCCTCTCGAGGGCCTGGCTCTGTTGTTGGCAATGCTGTTCGTTCTACCAGAGCCGCCGTTTCCGGAGGCGCCTCTACCGTAGCCGTTGGCGGAATTAATCCCTGCTGCGATTGTTGCACACAGCACAAGTGCCAAAACGAATATAAATTTCTGACCCATCCTAAAACCGTTATTAATGGTTTTATATCACCATTCTACACAAACCAGAGTCACCGCTATTCTAAATTTATAATCAAGTGTTTCGCAGTTATATACCCATTTTACATCTTTATTTATTCAGTAGATGCGATCCTTTTCTTTCGTTATCGTTTGATTTATCATTAGTACTAATTATATATGTTAATTATATCATCAATATTAATAGTGTTTGTTATAATAGTAATTACATCCAGACTATAATGACAACAAGCGATCATTTAACTGAAATGATTAGTAATATTTATCAATTTCCTACCACGATGACTAAAGGACATACCCACCCATAAGTGAACTTCTCGAAAGAATAAGTATGATTAATTGAGAAATTATTTGACTATGTTTCTAAGAAAACTTCTTTAAATCGCACAATAATCACATGATTGTTTGAGAAATTATCGCAATGTAAAAAGTAGAAAACAAATTATTATTGAAAAATATAAAGGACCACAGATCGACACACCAAATTACATATGTATTTAATTATAATTTGTATGGTAAATTACATTTGTATTTAATATTTATTTGACAAACTAATTACTAATTAGTAATTATATTTGTATTTAGTATATATTTGATTTGGCTAATTACTAATTACATATGTGTTTAGTATTCATTGACAAACTAATTATAAATTACATTTGTATTTAGTATTTATTTGGAAAACTAATTACTAATTACGTATTATAACATGAATTTTACATTCCACATCATAAATGATCCGCAGCTATAGGGAACGTAGAAAGCATAATCTAAAATGTTTCAAACGTCAGTTCTAGGTTAAAACGCACAGATTCCTTAGTTCTAAGTTAAACAGCCTCTCATCCGTCTTGGTGTTAATATTTCTTTGCTTTGCTGTAGTTTTTCCTTTCTTTGTTGTTTGAACACTTTGGCGCAACCACTTTGTCTGAGAACTTATGGTATGGAACCTAACACCAGGAGAAGTGAGGAACGAGGAGCTGAATTTGGAGGATATTTCGAGACCGACTGCCACCGACCAGGAGTCGACGTGTCTTCCTCGCCCTGCGGCGAGGCCGTTAAAAAATCCACGAAGGGCCCAAGCCATATAACTGTCGGAGCCAGTGGCTGGGGGGATGGTGGGGAGCCACCGGTACCGTGGACTTTTGCGCACCCTGCCCTACAAACGGACTACCGCAACCGAAGACTTCCGAAAGTATGTACCACCGACAGCTTTGGTCAACTTCGTGTCTAGGCTATGACCCTCACTGCACAGTGCACCTTTAGCGATCATTATTTGCAATAATTCAATAGGTTCTCACCGATTAAGTAAATAGTGGGGTCAAGAGGTCTCAAGCTCGGTGAAATCAAAAAGCATTTCACTTACGAAAAGTAGCAAGGGTAGGAATTGAAGAAATAACGATAAAAAAGAAAAATTAGAAGGGAAGAAAGAAAGGACGCCCTTCTGATTCCTCTGAGAATTTGCTCTTGTCAACTGCGATATTTGATTCTCTCCCCTTGACTACCCGATTTATAACTTGGCGAATATTTCTTGGTGTTAGTAAAAAATACCATTTAGGCCTTCTACTTCAACGGTAAAATCTCCGGCTTTCGATTGTGCCGATGTGAATGTCTTTCGGCATCGGGCTAACAAAAATGACGTTAGTGCTAGACTTTGCGATTTATTAGATAGTTTATTCCGATAATATCATTTTTTTCGATGTTTGCCGCATGAGGCCCTGAAGTAGATTAAACTGCTGAAATCTGTCTGTAAAATAACCTTGCTATAATGTTGCAGCTTTTCTTTAGTGCCGCATTTTTTTCGATATTTCATAATTATATAATTTGTTTGTGCTTCGCATCTTCTAGCTGCTCCTCGTAGATTTTTCAACTGTAATTCCTTATACAGTTGAGTATATTGAAAATTCTTTTGACCCTCGCAACGATCGCGTGTGTTTTCGCCAGCTGTTCTTGCCATTCCTCTCGAGCACGGCTGATTAAAAGTACATATATTATTCTAAAATAAATGTATATCGTAAGGAAATAATTATAACAACTATAGGATGCTCCTAGTAGTATTTCTTATACTTTATGCTCTCACAATTTATGTAATTTCATGGTGTTACCTGTTTCGTATCTTATATGTATCGCGTGCTTTCCTTTTAATTTTCGCATTTCCAGACGCTGAGATCGACTCTTTCCTATTCGCGTGAATAATTCTGTTACCACCCGAAAAATCGTCTTAATTAAAAATTAATATTTACCTAAAATTAGTATAATTTATTTTTGAGAAGGTTGACCAGATTTATATATCCGATTGATACTTCGTGGATTCGTTCCGCATGGTTTTAGTGTCATTTTAGTATTCCTTCTGCGTTAGTTTAAGTAAAATGTTATAAAAATTCCTTCCACATCTTCGTTGATTCATATTCGAGCATATTATCTTGCCTTGCGAATCTTTTGGCTATTAGAGTCCATATATTTAGCGTTATTAAATTGTATAAAGTCACCGTATTATATTATTTAGTTAATAATTATTTTTTCAGACCGTGATACAAAAAGAAAAGATATATATAGGAACAAACAAAATACGGCTCGAATCAAACCTACGTATATTCTTAAAATTTAACATTTAACACTAATACCACGCACTCGTTCACACTCATTCTCACTATTATAATATAAATATAAATATATAATCTGATTATAACATCAACTAATTTTCATTTGAAATCCACACAAACGACTTGAATTTTATAAACTAAGAATCCCAAAATCAACCATCCTTCGTCAATGAAGTCTAGATAATTGTACGTAATTAAGGTGGACAATACCGATATACATATATTGTAGAAGAGTAATTTTAGTATATCATCCTCATCATCACATAGGCTTAATATTCCATGAAATATTCAGGATCGGTTGATGGATTCACGTTATTTTCCTGTTCTTCGTTCTGATGATACCATGTGGTTTCTGTTCATTGAATCCGTACCAGGGAAAACCAAAAAAACCTGTCGCCTGATATCTCTCGCTGCTGCTGATATACTCGGTGGTAACACTTAATAAAACTTAAAGAAATCGGTGTTTCGTCTGAGACAGTCGATTTGCAAAAGGGACGAGAAGCCTCGTGCTCTTAGCTACCTTGGTTCCCGTAAAAAGAGAGAGGGGATAATAGTATTGTATAATAATGCCCTCAGCTCTCAGTGATGTTTAGCATAATTAAAATACAGAAAATAACTCTGTTGATAACCAACCGTTACAGTATATAATTTCTCTAGATAAATTAATTATCAAGAGACTCGGTCGAGTTTCGCGCCAAGTACAGGCAACCGGCTGTACAGGGCACAGCTCGCCGAGACTCTTTACTTGAGTCAACTCTTATACCTGTGTTTGGAACGAAATATCTTATTAACCGCTATACATGAGAAAAAGTTATTGATACATTCACTATAGGAATTGAGGGTCCTGAATTGATTGCCACCACGTTCAATACGATTAATATACGAGATCAAGGCGTATTGAGATGGCGAGCGAGATGATTTTATTTCAGTTCCGTCGTCGTCGTATTCGCACGTCCATCGCATTTTTTACACGACAGATGGCGCTGACTGCTGTGCCTTCTTTACCTATTTGTAATCTGTATGGTGTTAGTAATTTACAAATACACAACACAATCGAATACACTTTATACGTAAAGCTACCGTTCATACCGAATTTCCAGTTAGTATAATGGTGCTTTCACAACAGTAAAGAATTATTAAGTTTTTAATAGCATTCATGTGAAAGCGCGCGTGTATGGATGTATGTATATGTGTGCTTCGGCATAGTTCCTCGTATTTTAAGTGACAGTTTTTAGAGATACAGGATGTCCAGGTGTTCCTCTCCGTAGTTTCCTGTATCTAGGTGACGGACGTGGAAATCCAGGGTGTCCAGATGTTCCGCTCCGTAGTTTCCTGCATCTAGGTGTCAGACGTGGAAGTTCAGGGTGTTCAGGGGTTCCGCTCCGTAGTTTCCTGCATCTAGGTGTCAGACGTGGAAGTTCAGGGTGTTCAGGGGTTCCGCTCCGTAGTTTCCTGCATCTAGGTGTCAGACGTGGAAGTTCAGGGTGTTCAGGGGTTCCGCTCCGTAGTTTCCTGCATCTAGGTGTCAGACGTGGAAGTTCAGGGTGTTCAGGGGTTCCGCTCCGTAGTTTCCTGCATCTAGGTGTCAGACGTGGAAGTTCAGGGTGTTCAGGGGTTCCGCTCCGTAGTTTCCTGTGTCCAGGTGTTGGATGTGGAAGTCCAGGGTTTCCAGGCATTCCGCTCCGTAGTTTCTTGTATCTAGGTGTCGGACGTAGAAGTCTAGAGTGTTCAGAAAAGTGTGCAACGAGCGACGCTTTGGCGCTTCGCTCAAACAATAGTATCCTCTCTGTTGTTCGCACGGCCTGAGGTACGTAAATATTCCAGCACACTTTCCTCTCTTACGATTACCACACGGCTTCAACAAGCTGGACACCATTAACGACGCTTATATGCACTGAAGATTACATTTTCTTTAAAAATTTGTATATATCTTCATGCATTTCTAAAAAAAAGGGACTTACAAATTATATTTATATGCCATTAAACATTTTCGACGACGCAATATATTTTTCTGATTAGCGACATGATAATGCAATTACATTTTATATCTGTGAAAATATAGATTTCAGTGTTTAGAGCTTCTATGTCCCGTTGAACAACAAAAACTTGTGATATCCCCCAAAAAACACTTACATGTAAAAAACTACGCCAAGTACAGGAGCGCTATGTATTCCTCTAATAAAAAGTATTGATATCAGATTATTGAGGCCAAGTACATAAGTCACTACATATTTGCCTATTATATGATCTAGCACTGGCCCATCATTTTAATTGTATTTTCAAAATTTCTTATAACGTTTTCACTACTCTTTTACATTACTACTGCTTCCCGTAGTTGATTATGATTTAATGGTCATTTAATAATGATTAAAACTTTAGGTGATTCCTTATCGACTACTACTTGGCGGGTCCATGCCAGGAATTCCAAAGTACTTACTTTGAACGTACTAATAGTATCCTAAAACTATATGTTTGTTATTAAGCTTTTACCGTGATTATTTTTGACGAGTTATTGTGAATGAGCTGTATATAGAAAGTTGACATTGGTTTTGAGTTTGATGACTGGCATAATGAACGCGAATTTATGTCAAGAAATGCACGAACCCGCAATAGTACTCGATAAGGAATCACCTAAAGTTTTATTAACTATTAAATGACCATTAAATCATAATCAACTACGGGAAGCAGTAGTAATGTAAAAGAGTAGTGAAAACGTTACAGGACATTTTGAAAATACAATTAAAATGATGGGCCAGTGCTAGATCATATTATAGGCAAATATGTAGTGACTTATGTACTTGGCCTCAATGATGTGATATCAATACTTTTTATTAGAGGAATACGCGGCACTCCTGTACTTTGCGTAGTTTTTTACACGTAAGTATTTTTTGGGGGATTTACTTTACTTCCTTCTGCTTCTCCGCTTGATATTTCTTCTATTGATTGCCTATATTTACTCGCACCTTTGTTTCCGCATTTATATCGTGGTAATATCTTTAAATTAACCTCATTTTAGTTTATATACAATCACCTTTTCCTGCTTTGTTAATTTAGCGTAAGACTCTTGTTACCCTGATCTGGCTTACCACGCATTGCTCATATCTTGTGTTTCTGCTTGCCGTCTGTTTTGACTTGTATTAATTTCTTTCATCAGTTTTCCTTATATTTGCTATTGACTGCTTGTCTTAAAATACACCTCTAGTGCGTTAAATCGAATTTAATGGCTTTTTCCTAATTTCTTTCTAACCTTCTCGAAACGCCACGACTCTTCCGTCTAGCTAGTCGCTTTATCGGGCATTTAGTGCTGAAAATCCTCTCGCTCATCTTCCGCGTTAGTGATCATCTTACGGACCAGCCGTTATTTCTTAGTGCATCTCGTAATTAGATTTTGGGTGAACTTCAAGAACGGGAGACCCGTCTAACATGGGAGGCGCGGTCCCCGATTTCGTTATATTCATGTTTAGTTTTTAGTGTAAACCGACATTTTCCGAATTGGGTAAATTAATTGGTGACGCAGAGAGTGCGAAGTACTCGTAATACTCCCGCGAGGGATATTTGGCGCCCAACCCTTTCTTTATACAATACTTACTAC